TATAATATAGTATAATATAGTATAACAGTATAATGCAGGGTAATATATACATAGGATACTACGTATGATACAGTTCAGTATAGAATAAAATAATATAGTATAGTGTATACATATATATATATATATATTAAAATATAGTCAAATGTAATAGATTATAAGTATACTACAGTATAGTATAATCTAGTATAATAAGGTACCTGCAACTTGTACAGAGAGGAATAAGCAACACCGTAGAAACTTGTTAAGCCCTAGTCGTTGAGACCCGCGTGACCGCGTGCCTATGCAACCGAACAAGATGGCCCTACAAGAACACCTGAGTGAATCCAGAACCGTCTAATATAGTATGATGTAGTTCATTATAGTATACTATCGAATAATCTTGTATGAACCACTGTGATCCCTGACGGCAGACTCTCCCCCAGTAGCAGGAATCGAAGCACCATTTCGGCTCGGCTCTTTTGGGGGGGTCTTCGACTGTTGCGGTTTCGGGGGCTCTTCCAGAGAGTTCCGGTGTTTAGCGGATGAGATGTAGGGCTCCGAAATCCGAGCGGGGGGTGAAAATTCGGGGCCTTAGAGGGAATTTGGTACTGAGAGCTGAGCTTGAGCTTGCTGAGTTACGACGAGACGACGCTCTTCAGACGGCCTTGGGATACGGCCACTCGGCGAGATCCTTTCCCAGAAGCGGGCCTGGTATTTCCTGGCGCATGAGGTTGCAACAGCACCTTGATTTTGACCTCTTCTATATAATTGAGTCTCACATCATGGTCTCATGCATTATCATTCCACTTCGGATCCCTGCCCCGTCGGTTTGGAAGCTTGGAAGTTCAGGGCAGAGCCTTCAGTGAAAACATTGTGTTCAGATGTCCTAAACTCTAAGCCAAGAGCTGCGGTTCCCGAAGGGTCGCAGGGGCTTCTACCCCAACGCCTTGAGGAGCATCACATCATGGTCTCTCGGATGAACGATGAGGCTGGGACTTTCGGTCAGTTTCGAGCTCAGGGTTCAGGGATGAGGGTCTCCCAGACACTCGCTACTTCTACACTTATGTCTGAAATCCTCATTCCTGAACCCTGCCCCGAACCCTCGGGAGTCACCCCAAATGCTGGGAAATACGGACCCACCCCATATATGTCTGCAAGCCCAATAACACCGCAGGTCCAAAGTGGAGTCCGGGAGTACTTTGACAAGCCGAAAGCCAAGGAAGGCACTCGCCGCAGCACGTGATTCGCGCGGGGTTTCCAACCCAACAGCAGACTGAAAAAAGCATTGATTCGCTGTGCGGGAGCAAAATCCCAGAAGCCTTTTAGCTCAAGACCGTTGAGTCATCGCATATCATCGCATGTCTTTCTCTTCTACAGTGTACTCTCCTTGAGTTCTCTGAGATCCATGAAAACCGTCGCCATGATTCTCACAGCTTCCCGACCCCGACCCCACTGCACCGCACTTCTAGCCGCAAGGTGAAGGGATCCCTCGGATGCGGGAGCGCTACGCCGGCGCTCCCAGGAGGGAGGGGGGCAGCATTTCGGGCACCCAGGGTTAGGCAGCGCGAGCCAAGAGGCAGAGCCGGTGCCGAGTCGTGTTCTGTGTGAGAATCTCTGCCTTGGTGAGCCACCTAGGCCTGTTTAGCCCCTGTGTGGAAGCCCTTGTAGTCGTCTACTTCCACTTCCTGTTTCCAAGAGACTACTGGCAATACGTGACTTATGTGTAATACCAAAGCATGATGTGGATCAAGAAAAGGGGAAATAGTACTGATAAATATCATAGTCATGCCCATACTTGACATCATAATCGTAATCATCATCTTAACCGCACTAAAAACTAAAAATCACCATAACAACAAAAAATAGTAAATACTATTAATGACAACAGCAACAACAACCACAACGACGACGACAGCAACAACAGCAACAACAACAACAACAACAACAAAAACAACATCAACAACAACAACAACAACAACAACATCATCAACAACAACAACAACAACAACATGAACATGCAATCCTCATGATACTGGCTCCACGCCGAAGCCAGAAGCAATGCCTCTCGCGATGGAGTATCGGCATTGGGGAATACGAGGACGCATCGTCATCTGTTGGGGTTTGTCTTTTTGGGGCTAAGAGTAACTAGGTTACCCAGTAGCCCCTCAATAATAAGGGTACCTCGAGTCTCAA